GGGGGGGGGGGGGGGGGGGGGGGGGAAGCTGGATTCGCTCAAGATTCATTTAATCATTAAATGGGAGTTTTGTCCCTACCCAACCATGGCAAAAAGAAGATTGCAAAGTCAGATCTGATTCATTTAACCACCACTTTGCTTAGCCATGGAAGTTTTGGTCCCAATTATGGTCTTAAGGCAAGGGCTACACATTGATATAGATACATACCCACATATGTATATACAGTAATACACACTTCTTAGTAACAGAATAACAAAATTGGAAGGGACCTTCTAGACTACAGAGATCTTCTAGTCCAACCCTGTGCAGGCATTCCAGGCAACTCTCTGTACCATTTTAGACAAATGGTACTCCACTCTCTTCTTAAAAACTTACAACGTTGGAGCGTTTACAACTTTTGAAGGCAAGTCATTTCACTGATTAATTGATCTAACCGTCAGGAAATTTGATTCGTTTCCACCCTTGCTTCATGTCTTGCCCTCAGGTGATTTGGAGAATAACTTGACTCCCTCTTCCTTGTGGTAGCCGCTCAACTATTGGAAGACTTGCTATCATGTCACCTCTAGTCTTTCTCTTTGTTAGACTAGACATAGCCAATTTCTGCCACAGTTCTTCATATGTTCTTCATTTGCCCCTGCCCCTGGAGGTCTCCCACTGCCCTGCCACCCGCTGCCTGGCACTCACCATGGACTTTGCCTGGGGAGAGAGGAGTTGCCGGTTGGAGAGAGGAGGATCCATGAGAGGCCAAGGTGGGCACGGAGCTGGGCTGGGAGCCATTGTAGTTGTCCATGGCAAGCTTGTGCCTGAAGGCTTCCTCTTTACGGCGGTTGGCAAACCAGTTGTAAACCCTCACCTCGGTCACCAGGTTGGAGCCCAGCCCCTGGGCTTGGGATGGAGAGACTCCACGCTGAAGGCACTCTGCCCTGCCAAGGAAGGGCATGGTTGGATCAGGTCTGGAGCAATCCTAACCTCCCCAACCACATATGTTCCCAATATGGCACAACACAATTCCTGGAAGTTCTCAGCAACCAACTGGGAATTTTGGAAGCTCCACCTTCTCAACCTTGGCTACCTAAAGATTGTGGTTGTGGAATTCTGAGAGTTTAAGTCCACACATCTTCAAGTAGCCAAGGTTGAGAAATAATGATGAAGTTTAGGAAAATTAAAGTGACCTCCAAGAATATGCAGTGGTTGTCTCTAGGGAAGGAAAGTTGATAACTGGGTTAGTATCTCATGCAATCCTCCTAGTGTACTCAAGGCAGAATGATCACAGTTCAGAGCAAGCTAAGCACACCCAAGAGTAGGACAATTGGCTTCCTTCAACAGAGTTTCCACACTTCTGCTAAACCATAAATTATGAGCCATCAGCCGCAATTGCTGGATTTACCTAGCACATCGAACCAAACCAAACCCAGCAGACTGCTTTATGGCTCATTTGATAAGTGAACCAGGTTCAAGAGAGATGATGCACCACTTTGGAAAACTATTCAAACAGCCCTCAAAAAGAATACATACACCATGGTGACCACCATTCCGAAAGATGGCTTATTCAGCCTAACATGCAATTGCAGAGAAGTATTGTGTGCCAGAGCTGGTGCTGATGAACCTCAAAATGCTTAGGTAGGAGCCCAGCATCCTCTGCAAGATTCAGCTCTTCAGAACAGGCAAACTGTCACGGAACTGCTTCTCCAGAGTTAGGAAGAGAGCCAGTTTGATCTAGTCATTAAGGCACCTGACTAGAAAGCAGGAAACCATGAATTCAAGTCCTGCCTTAGCCATGAAAGGTGGCTGGGTAACTCTGGCCATTCACCAGGCGACCAGGAGTTCTAGTCCTGCCTGAGGAATAACGGCCAGCTGGGTGACTTTGGGCCAGTCCCTCTCTCTCAGTCCAATCCACTTCACAGGGTTGTTATTGTGGAGAAAATAGTGTGGGGTAGCTTCGCCATCTTGAGTTATTTGTAAAAACAATAAAAGCAGGATATAAACAAACAAACAAAAATAGATAAGTTTGAAAGTTTTTGTCATGAATAGCCTAGGGAAGCTCTCGTGTATTTATTCTGCACTCTGCTAATTATAATCGAAGTATGATTGTGCTGAATCTCTCGGTGTTCTCTCTCTCTTTTTTGCATCAAGCTCAATTGATGTTTAGTTGTTTAAGGTTAACTTGGAACAAAATAGAGATGGGAGACTGAAGAAGCATTCACCCCTTTTTCACGGAGCTGATGGTCTTGCTCGACTGAGGGAAATTGATGAAATCTCAACCCTCCCTCCCAACGGGGGTCTGGAGCAGACCGGACTTGGCCTACGGAGGAGGAAATTCTCTTCCCATCTTGTGGGGCTGGATCAAGGGGCAGTTAGCCTGGCAGGGCCTTTCCGGTGGTGGCCTGTGGGAGGCTCTGAGAGCCACAGAGGGTGAACTTTATCATACCTGAAACATGGCTTTGTAATACTGTTGCACTGTGTAATTAACAGGGGGTTCCTTGTATTTCTTTTAAATTTGCTTTTTCAATGGTGTTGCTAATAATTTCCCATAAACCTTCAAGAAAAGGCCTCTCTTTCAAGAACCGGGACTGGCAGGAGAGCTTTCAACACATTGTAGGTAACAGTTTCATTTTTAGCCTCCATGAACAAAGAGAACAGTTAAGCCCATCCTTGAGAAGTGCTGAGAAGGTATCTTACCCAAGCCTATTTGGATGTTTAGCATTTGCAAATGTTTCTTTTACTTTTACTGAGAACACAATGCTCTTTCCTATGGCTCCGTATGCTGTGATTCTTGTGATGTAACTGAACAGACGGCTCTTTCTAAGCCAATGGACTTTTGCTTTGAAGCTGTCTGTTGTTCTAACTATAAAATAAATGTAATCCATTTCTTGGGGTTCCCTCTCATAGAGTTCTCTAATAAGTTGCTTTTAAATGCTCTTCCAACTTGGTTGCTTATTGGAAAAGGGAAACTGAGGCAGAAGCTAAGACTCCCAAGTGGGATCCAAAGGTCTCCTCCCAAGGAGGCCCATCCTGGGACGGGTGCGAGACAGGGTCCGCCTCCCCAGTACCTGTTGCATTCCTCCACCAGAGCCTCCCTCTCTTCCTTGCTCGGGTTCTTCTGCCTCTCGTAGGCTTGGAAGAGGATCTGCTGAGAGGCTGGGCCCCACTTGAACCGGTTCCTCCGGCCCTTCTTGACCGGGAGTTCCTCCCCCATCGGGTCCTCCACCATGAGGCCCTGGCCGGCGTGGGTAAATTCTGGAAGGGCAAAAAGAGACTCTGGGAAGGGATCCACAGGGCAGGAGTGGAAAGCAAAGGGTTGCTGAGCTCTGGAAAAGAGAGCAGAAGCTGCTCCTTTGAGGGTTTCCTTGGGGTCTTGACGGCTTCTGTTTTCAGCTAGCTTCCCCCCATCTGTTCCCTCCAAGACCAAAGGCTATTGATGGTGGGAAATAATTTATGCATCATTATTTATTTATTAAGCACATTTCTATAGCCACCCAAGTCAACAGTGCAGAACATTAAATATTCACATTCAAAAAATCACAATTTCACCCCAGCCCAATAAGAAATTGGGAATAATGGGAGCTGATGGAGCCCTGATTTAGGTCCCACCTCTTGCAGTGTCTGAGTGATGCTAGGCAATTTTATGTACGTGATAAAGAGGACAAAGTTAATTACATGTATATGTACAATTAATTAAATGAAATTAAACCTAATTGTGGTGGGTTTGCTGCCTATTCCTCTTGTCTTGAACCCATCATCTTTTTTTGTACAGATTCTAGAGTGATATTTGCAGATTCCCCCCTTCCCAAAGTTTTCAAGGATCAGGATTTCAGATCCAGAGGATGACATGCTACTGTATTTCCACAGGAAACATTTTCTGCTTGGCTTGCAACCCAGGAAGAGGCAATAATAATACATTCCCCACCCTTTGGCAGGTGTGGCTAACATCTGACCATTTCCTGCTGATAACTGTCAATGAGAAACTAAGAGAAAAGAGCCATGGGGCCTCAGAACTGACTCAGAGCCTCTCATCAATGGAAGAAGTAGCCTTCCCCAGTCCGTCTCACCCTCTGCCCACAGCAGCCCTCAGACCCAAAAGGAGGAAGACCTGCCCGAATCTCGGGGTGGGGGTCTGCCTAGGGCACCATCTCCCACCTCTGAATTGGGAAAGCTTGCTCAGAGGAGCAATGCCCCCAACCTGGACATCTTGGAACAGAGATCCCTCCCAGAATCCGAGCCAGCACCTGGTCTACAAGGGTCTTGGAAAGGGGGCACATCGCTGCCAGTTGCTGTACTTACGCTGGGCCACCTCTCGCTGCTTGCGAACGTACCAGGTGTACAGGGCGGCTCTCTTCTGAGTCTTCATGGGGGTGCCCTTGTTGAGATGCTGGGAGAGGTGGGACTGGTTCAAGCCCGTTGTGTCCACCACCTCCCGTTGAGGGATGTTGTGCTGCTGGAGGTAGGATTTCACCATCTTTGCCACCCTCCATGGATCCTCCCTGGAAGAGATGGAGAACGGCTGTCTCAGAGAGGGGTCCTTGCCCCCCTCCGAATCTTGAGATAGAATTTATTTATTTAAGATAATATATATGGCTACCCAACTCAGCCTTGGTGACTCTGAGCAGCTTACAAGAATAAACAATTCAGAATTGCTGGGTTCACACAATACATTGCCTCCAAATGAGTAAAGGTTTTAGGAATAACATTCCATTTTCTGGTTCCTGGAACATGTGAAGACTCCAGCTTTGTGCTCAGTTCCCACAATTCTGTTTTAGCCCGGTGATATTAAATTAGACCATGCCAGCCTTATGCTTAGGAAGACAACTTTTATTCCAAAGTCCTAGTAACAGAATCCTGCAAGTCTGAAGTCCCCTCCTTCTGTCCTCCCTCTCACTATCTTCAAGAAAACCAAGGAGGATCTTGTCTGAGATGCTTTCTGGCCCAGGCTCAGATTTCTTCTCTCTCTGACTATTGTCTTGCTGACAAGTCTTCCTCCTGTCCCTCAAGGTCAGGAGTCTCCATGCTTGGCAACTTTTAAGACTTGTGGACGTCAACTGGCCATGCTTGCTCAGGAATTCTGGGAGCTGAAGTCCACAGGTCGTAAAGTTGCTCTGGTTGTCCACCCCGGCTAGCAGTCAAGGATGCAGCTAGGAGAGGGTGAGTTCTAGTCTTGCCTTAGCCAGGTGGGTGACTCTGTGCCAGAGCCATTCTCTTAGCCCATGACCTCAGGCTCAGAGGGAAGCCAGTCCATCCTCTTCCCAACTCAACCAATTGATCAACGCTTGGTTGATCAAAAGCAAAACAAACAAACAAACAAAAAAGGCAGACCCAGCTCTTGTGGGAAAAACACTAAGAAGAAAACAACTTCAGAGAAATACTAGGCAGAATCCCACAGACAAAATTTCTCTTAAAGGGAGTGCAAGAGAATGCCTCATAAACTCAGATGCTGACTAAGGAGGAAAAAGCAGCTCAGGAACCCACCCAAGAAGCCCAAGGAGCTTTTGACCAAAGGGACAAGGAGACGGGTGTCAATCCCCACGGAAGCCTGTCAGACAGCAGCTAACGCAGGAAGTGGGGACCCCTGAAGGGCCAAAGGAGCAGAGCTCACAAGGGAAGCCGAAAGCAATGAAAGCCCCTTTTGGCTCCAGGGGTGGTGAAAGCAGGAGGAGGGAGGGGCGGGCGGCTGCTAAGAGGAGAAGGCAAGATGGGGAGAGGCCCCAATTCCTACTTGGCTTCCAGCTTCTCCTCAGGGGAATTACACTCAAAGTGCAAGTAGGATGGGGGACAAAAGGAGAGTGGCAAAAAAACAAAAAAACAGAATAGCATAACAGAACCTCAAAGATCTTCTAGTCCAACCCCCTGCACAAGCAAGAGACCCTATACATTCCAGCAAATTGTTGTCCAGTCTCCATTGGTGAAGGCAAGCCATTGTACCGATTAATTGTTCTGACTGTCAGGAAATTTCTCCTTAGTTTTAAGTTGCTTCTCTCCTTCATTAGTTTCTATCCATTGCTTCTTGATCAGCCTTCAAGAACTTTGGAAAATAGGTTGACCCCCCTCTTTTTTGTAGTAGCCCCTCAAGAATTGGAACATTGCTGTCATATCACATTTAGTCCTTCTTTTCCCTAGAATAGACATTCCTGCAACCGTTCTTCGTATGTTTTAACCTCCAGTCCCCTAATCATCTTTGCTGCTCTTCTCTGCATTCTTTCTAGAATCTCAATATCTTTTTTATATCATGGCAACTGGATGCAATATTTCAAGGGTGGTCTTATCAAGGCATTATAAATTGGTACTAACACTTCACGGGATTTTGAAAGAAAGGGGAGTAAGGAGAGTAAAGCAAGGTTGAGGTGTCCTGACTGCCTCAAATGGATTTAGGGCTCCAAAATCAGGTCAGTTCCATCCAAAAGGAACAAAGGGACCCGTGGATGTTGTCTTGGAGGGCTTTTCGGTGTATCTGAGGAACCATGGAAGGTAGAATGTCAGAAGTTCAGAGAAGGTAAAAAGCTGCCTCACATTAAAAAAAAAGTGCGGGGGGAGAGAGAATGGAGAGCAAAATACCACCTAGCACAGGGGTGTCAAACTCAATTTCATTGAGGGCTACATCAGGGTTGTGACTGACCTCAGGGGCCTGGGCTGGGTGTGGCCAGAGCGGGCATGGCCTGCTTGATGTCACTCATGTCAGCGGCGCCTGTGGCAACCCGACCATTCTGCCAGTGAAAATAGGCTCCTGAGCTCTGTTTCTGGCTACGACAGCCTCCTACAACCCTCTGCCAGCGAAAACGGAGCTCAGGAGCCCGTTTTCGCTGGCTGAGTACTCGGCCGCCACAAGCACTCCTGACATGAGTGACATCGAGCAGGCCATGCCCACAGTGAAAACAGTGAGGGACCGGCCCACAGTGCCTCTGCTAGTGAAAATGGCCTCCCAAGCTCCGTTTTTACTGGCAGAGGGGTGCAGGAGGCCGTCACAGCCCAAAATGGAGCTTGGGAGCCCGTTTGTGCTGGCAGAGGCACCATGGGGCCAGACCCTCACTGTTTCCAGGGTGGCTCTGTGGGCCAGATCTAAGCACCCCGCAGGCTGAATCCAGCCCGCAGGCCTTGAGTTTGACACCCCTGACCTAGCTTGATGTTATTCCTGGGGAAAACACCCTGGAACGGATGACTAAGCAGTTGGTTTGAGCCAGGGGTAAAGCAGGGAGGGGCAGGAATCCTTTCTAGGCTGTCTACCACTCAACATATTTATAAACTACTTGGAGGAAAGATTAGAAAATATGGTTGTCACATCTGCAAACAACAGAACAAAGAGATGGAAAATTTGAAATGCTTAGATCAGTATTTCTCCACTGATGTAAAGAGAGTAAAGAGACTATTAGGAGCATCTTTCATCTTTTACATCTTTTTTCTTAATTTTACATTATATAATTTCAGGTTTATGTGAATATAGACATATGCATATCCATATACTGTACATATATATATGAGAAATAAAAAGATGTGAATTTAAGGTGGCCACAATAGCTTATTTTACTCTGGAAAAAAATGTCCAATATTCCATTGCCCCATAATGCAATTGAAGAAAATAGGAAATAAATTTGAATGAAGGAAAGGGAGCACCTAAAATAGGCACATCTGTCCCCAGAATTATCTCAGTTACTTTGGTAGAATCAGAAATGTGGGGTTTGTGTGTGTGTGTGACCATTTCCTGGAGCAACCACTTCCTCTCCAATACCTTGAAGGGAGGCTGGAAGGAGCATTAGAGACCATGCCCTGTCTGGGCCTTCTGATGTGGGGCAGAGGTGGGGAGCCAAGGTGGTCCTTAGGAAAGTATGAAGAAACTTAGATATTCAGAAGGTCACCTTCATTCCCCCCTCCTGGGGGCAGGAGAAATAGGCTTTGGTGGAGGGCTTCTGGGTGTGGGACAGCTGAGGACCCCTTCCTGCCCATGGCTTCAGAGTTCCTGACCTCCAGCCTTTGGCCCTCCTGCTTCTCCCTATGGGGATCATCCCTGGGGTTCAAGTTCCTCTCTTGCCTGGTCCTGAGCTTATTCCTGAAGGGCTTCCTCACCTCCCTTTTGTTACCTGAACAATAAGTAACCCAGGTAGTTAGTTATCAACTCAAAGGGAACAAGAGCCTGGTTGATAATTTATAGCAGCATCTCAAATTTAAATGGAAAGTAAATATCAAGTTGTTAGCATTAAAAGAAAGCCCAATCCTCAGAACAGGGAATTCAACTTTCGAGGTGGGGGGACGACTCCATGTTCCTCCCATCAACGCCGTTCTTGCTGAAATCTCCTTCTCTCCTTTTCACTCTCCTCCATGTCCAGATGTCCCCCTCCAGTCTTCCCTCCCTCAGTGCTGAGCCAAGCCAGCCTGGGGCAGCCCCAGTTTAGCCTAGGTCAGCCAGGATTCTTGGGAAACCTCCCTGAGGCTCCTTGCAGAGGGCCAAACGGGATGCCAGATCACCACGCGTGCCAAGGATGCGACCATCCCTGCTGTCCTTTGACCCGGGACCGTTCTTCTCTCTCGCTTCTGTGGAATGCAGGGGATTCGGGGATGGACAGGAAGAAAGGTAAGACTTGTGTGCAGTTGTGTTTTATTCTTCTTGGTGGATTTGGCCCTTCCTGGCTTAGGTTGGATTCTGCGCCCTCTGAGGCAACACCAGAGATGTTGCAATTGTCAGACATGGGCCCAACTGTCTGCAAAGAAAAAGTGAGGGAGGGACCCAGAGCTTACTTTTATTCCATGGGACGTGATTCTAGGTGCCTAAATGGGTTTTCTTACTTTTGGAATGGAATTCCATTTCCAATCCACCCTTTCTTCTCCATTTAAAAGAAATCTGGCTTGGGATTTTCTTTCAGGAAGAAGCAGCCTCCACAATGAAGGGCTTGAGGCTCAACCTAGGCTCCAGCCCCTGCCTCTCAGTGGAACATCTGGGGGCAGCTATCACAAGGCCCTTTTCAAACTCTGGGAACCCTCGCAGCCTTGGCTACTGCCCCCCCCCCCCCGTTTAGCTATTTGGCAGGGGTGCCTCCTGGGTGCTTCGTGCCCTCAACACATCCGTGTTACTGATGGTAATGGCAAGCAAGCTGTCAGTGGAGGTTCTGGAGTTGTTCACATCTTCTCCAGGACTTCCAGAGAGAACCCACCCACTCCCTCTCCCTCTCTCTCTCTCTCTCTCTCTCTCTCTCTCTCTCTCTCTCTCTCTCCCCCTCCCTCCCTCCCTCCCTCCCTCCCTCCTTCTCTCTCGGCTGGAAGAGTTTCTGTTCAGCTGTGCAAAAGCCACCTCACCTTCTGCGCCTTTGCTGTTGCCAGTATTTTTCCTAAGGCCAAAGTCCGAAGTGCTTCCACAAGCTGGATAAATTAACAACAGTCCATGTTTACTCTCTCCTCCCTTGCAAGATAAAGAGTACAATGTGTTCCCAGAGGACAGTAAAAAGGCCTGGAGGTGGTCCAGAAATGGCCCTGGAACACGACAAGGCAGACCTGGCATGCCAGCAGAGGCAAAAGGATGGGCAGGCTTTTGGGGTCCAGCTTCTGTTGGCTGCAGTGGTGTCTTTCCTGCTGGATTATGATGCTCCTCTTCCATCCCTCTCCATGCCAGTTATTTCAAGGTGTTTCCCCCCTCCCCTCACCAAAGTGGCTATAAGCACCTTGCTAGTCAAGGAAAGTGAGCAGAATTGGGACTTTTAGGTTCCTGGGTAGAAAAGCACCAGGGAATGTAGACTCCCATTTTCCAAAGAAGTGGGAAAATCTTCCTGTAAGAAGTCATTTGCAGTTGTGAAAGAAACAATAGGAGTTGTTTATGAAGTCACATTGAGATGGTCTGGGAAGAGGACGGGAGTAAGGGAAATATTCTTCTTTCAGTTCCTTTACACAGAAATGCCCTTTGTTGAGAACAGGCACCAAGAAAGAGAACAATTACTACAATCAGCTGCACCAACGTGTAAATTAATGAAAACCAGTGCAATCAACTGCTCTAAAACAAGGGGGTCCAACCCTGGCAACTTGAAGACTTGTGGACTTCAACTTTCCAGCATGCTGGCCGGGGAATTCTGGGAGTTGAAGTCTTCAAGACACCCCTGCTCTAAAGAGTTTTGAAAAGGGGCTCTTAAATACACATTTAAAAAGCCCACCTTTTTTTTAGCTCGTCAGAGCCCTTAGACTAGATTTGCATTAGACTCCTGGCATTCCACACTTTGATAAGAGAGTGGAAAAGGTCAATTTCAGCCTTGCAGGATTGATTTTATTTTATTGTATGGTTTTCTAGACATCCAAATGACTATGTAATCAATGGGGTTTGACTCCAGTGATTCTGTTCTCAACCAAGGAGCTAATAGCCACAGATGCATTGCCAAGAAAGAGAACAGTGCTTTGCAAAATGAGGGATGTCAAGTCCATTCATGCTTTGGGTATTGCACCAGGGCCCTGTTGTTGCTGCTGTTATTTCTAGGAGCGGTGGATGCAAAATACTGGCTAGAGCATGAGCAAAATGCAAAATGGTGGCGTGGGGTCAAAATGGCTCAATTTGGCAGGATACAGGGCTATCCACAGGGTGTAGTCAAAGAAGCAAAGATGATGGCCAGGATAGCATGATAGAAACTTTTTATGCTGTTGCCTATAAAAACCAGTAGAGCTTCAGTGACTCCGTTGTGGCTGCCATGTTGACTTTTCTGACTGTACCCTGTGGACCCTCCCGGTGGGCTATAGACAGAATAGAATAGAATAACAGAGTTGGAAGGGACCTTGGAGGTCTTCTAGTCCAACTCCTTGCTCAAGCAGTAAACTCTATACCATTTCAGACAAATGGTTGTCCAATCTCTACTGGTTTTTATAGGCAACAGCATAAAAAGTTTCTATCATGCTATCCTGGCCATCATCTTTGCTTCTTTGACTACACCCTGTGGATAGCCCTGTATCCT